TAAGAGTGACAAATTCTCGAACAGGAGGTAAACCAACATACATGTACAATCAACCAACACTGGGATGAAATTCCGAAAGCTGTTCCACAATCCCATAAGATATATTCATGAATCAAAGAAAAACTTTCAGCAACAGGAGTTTAACCATGGAACCATGGAACCAAAATTTGGAACAAACTACCTTTGCATATTTGCATATTAAACAATTGTGGAAACTTACTGTATAAAATGTAATACACATGTCTATGAATACGCGTATCTTTGCTCTGATAGCCTTAGAACATTTCAATATATATTGTTTTCCTTTAATGGGAATAAGAGTTTGTATTATTAATGTAAGGTTTAGCATATAACTTTGATTTCGCTTTTAGAAATGAACACTTCATAGGGCTGCTTGTTGTTGCCCGTCTAACATGAATATTCCTACTAACACGAATGTTTTTGTATTAAAAAAAACTGAGAAGGGGTCATTATACTACGGGGTCATTTTTATAGAATGTACATCGAGAAAAACGACCCCAAGGCCATAATTTTTACAAAAAAGTGGTCATTTTTTAATATATTCGATCAGTGCTTACTATTAATGCAAGATATATTACTGTAGTCGGCGGCGACTCACACAAATTGTTCCGACGAAAATAGTTCCATCAGTAATAAGTAGATACAACATAATTGTTCATGATAAGAATAATGTTATGTATGTCATACGTAAAAGAAACAAAAATTATAATGTAAATTTTTCCTCCAAAGATATTCTTCGGTTGATATCTTTTCACCAATGAATTGATTATACTTTATCAACAACTGTAGTAAAATCATGTTAATTGTTCGTTAATTATCGTATAGTTTCCTCCTAGAGAAAAAAAAACTCATTCTGTGTGTGTAGTATATTAGATGACGGAATTTTCAATTCCTGAGCAGACTCCTGCACGTCTGTAGACAAACTACACATAAGGAGAGTACCTATAAAATGTTTAACGAAACCCGAACTGGACTGGGGATTTTTTAACTGACAATCGTTTTTTTTTTATCAATCAGAATTTATATTCATGTGATCTATTTATGAAAAAAAGTTCTGTCTGCCATCGTAACTTCTCTGTTCGCGGGAGTCCATTTTGACAACGCCATCGCACGTGTGTAGACCAAGGCTAAATGGTCTTGCGGACACAGGTATGTGTACTGTTTGTTAGGAGACTGGTTGACGCTACGGACTTTCGAAATTTACACCAGTTCTATAACTAGACATGCATTGCAGTTTTATTTTATAAAAGTCATTAAACACTCTTAAACATATTAAATCTAAAAGTCGAATATCTTTGGATATGGGGTCTACGTAGAATATTTACCAGGGGTCAATTAACACCGGTTAATATTTTACGGGGGTCACTTTTCGTCCTTATGCGTACAGTTTCTATCTAACTGGCGCAAACTAGATCAATCTCTTATTATTTTTCTCTATATTTGCCGGTGCTATCTAATCCGTTTAAAGTAGATTACATTATCAAGTACAAAAAAATGATCGAAGCTAGGTGTTTCTATTTTAAGCTTCTAAAAAAATTATAAACCTGCTTTTTCTAAAATTTGAAACATTCTTCTGTAAAGCAACAAGAGTGCTGACATCACAATTGTCTTTGGATGTCTTTTAAACAGGTACTGCAGTTGCTAATCATAACGGTTACCACATAAATTCGCGATTTCATAAATGAAGTCTATAGAAATCACTCGATTGACCAATTCAAGAGCTATGCATTAGCATAGCGAACAGTAAATGAATGCAACGCCTTTTTTGGAAAAATCGACCATTTTGCTTTTACCCACCGCATTATAATACAGTTTGTCAGCATTCATATCAAACAACATTTCTCTACTAAAATTTGCTCTTTATCTTTTTCTCGAATGCTGTTAGAATCCTATTTCTTCGATTTCACGTAAACATTCGTTTTACCGAGAAACCATTGTGAAACGTCATATCGACTCTGAACCAGACATATAATTAAGCGATTGTCTTATTAAATTAAAAATGGATAATAAATTTTCTATTATTTCCCGTTGCTTTGAATTATCATCACACAACACAAAAGTGCAACAGCGAAGTTGCTGGACATGACGAATTTATTGGTCGCACATGCAACTGAAATTATCACTTTTTGTTTTTGAACAACTCAACATGATTTCTCGCCATGAAAAAATCAAGGATATTAAATACTTTGATTTATTCTATTTAATAATTAGAATAATAAACAATAACTGGCAATCATTTATTTTGTTTTATGTAAAATGAAACATATGGAGAGAACGAACAGTATTCAAGATCAAGTCCATAAAACAATACAAAATAGAAACAGAGCAAACATGGGCCTCCAAAACATCAGAGATGGGATCAGGTGCCATAGAGAAGCAAGCATCCCCTGCTGACCGGTCACACCTGCCGTGTGCACCTTGTCATAATCGGGAAATAATGGGAAAATCCGTCGTTAATTCAGTGTATAAATGATGGATAAACAATTAGTATGAAAAACGTCAGTCAGCATTTGACTCAATGATAAATTGTCTTTGCTGACAAGGTTATTGTATCGACCTTAGAAATTAGGAAATGTTTACTTTAAACGAGACAGCTGATATTCTTGTTTCATCGACTTGTTTGTCAATGATTTACCTATTTTTAGCAATTTTTCATACATAAAGCATGCTCTTGCGTATCGAATCAACTGAGTCTTATAAACTCTGTATGCAGGTGATGAAGTTATATTGCTGCATAAGTAAGGGAAGTTGACGAAAGAATAGTTAAAGTCATCAGGTTTATCATATAGCTTTGCTGTTAGATTACCATTAATGTCTTCTTCAAGTAAAATATCCAAGTATGAAACAGATGTGTCAGATTCTGTGGTATCTTATCTCAAGCTCCCCAGGGTATATCGTATCGTCATAGGAATGGAAATTACCATTGTTAATTGACAGTACATCCTCATTATACCTTAATGTCGAGATGAAGGCCACAGCAAGTGTTTTCTTCTTTTCACGCATAACAATCGAATAATTAAATCTCAGGTCATAGTTGATGTGACGTCAAGAAAAATGAAACAAGAGGTTTAAATTCAGTCGCAGTGTTTAAATATTGCAGTGAAAAAATAAAATGTATTATCCTACGTCGATACGATATATCCTAATGAGCTTGATACAAGGGATACCACAGAGTCTGACACATCTGTTTCATACTTGGATATCTTACTTGAAATAGACGTTAATGGTAATCTAACAACCAAGCTATATGATAAACGTGATGACTTTAACTTTTCTATCGTCAACTTCCATTACTTATGCAGCAATATTCCTTCATTACCTGCATACAGAGTTTATATATATCTTAGTTGATGCGATACGTAAGAGTATGCTTTATGTATGAACAATTTCTAAAACGAGGTAAATTATTGCGATCAAGTTCATGAAACAAGAATATCAGAAGACTCGTTTAAAGTCATCATTTCCTAAGTTCTTTGGCAGATACAATTACCTTGTCAGAAAATATTACCTGATCATGACAAGGAGCACACGGCAGGTGTGACCGGTCAGCAGGGGATGCATGGCACCTGATCCCACCTCTGATGTTTCGGAGGTCTGTGTTTGCTCTGCTCCTATTTTGTATTGTTTTATGGACTTTGATATTGAATACTGTTCGTTTTTTCCATATCATTCTTACGTCTCATTTTCCATAGAAACAAGTGCTACAATATTTTTCCAATGTGCGATAATTTTAGAAACAGAATTTCCCATCAAAATCTACAAAACTACATGTCAATCACTTTTAACAACCAAGCGAGAATTGCCCAAGAACACACACAAAAAAAACTTACACGGAAAATAAAATTCTAAAGCATAAGACCAAAAAAAAAAAAAAAAAAAAAAAAAAACTATGAAACTCCTCCTAACTCGTTGATTAAATTTTGCAGTTGTGTATTCTGAATAATGATAATTATTCTTTAATTTAAACTATTCAGATTCGAATTTATCGCTGCAATATTTTACCAATTACGGTCATAATATGATACAAAATGTAAAAAAAAAAATATATGACAGAAGTCTTTGATCGTATATGATGATTTAAATTTATTTGGTATCATTAAAAGGTAATATAACTTTCGAAGTTCAGGAAGTAGAAGAATATGAAGTATCCTTAAGTAAGCAGACATTAAAACTCAGACTAAAGATCAATCGTGAAAATATTTTTCCCAGTAATCAGTTGAATTTCAATACTAAACATTTATTTCCTTTGTTGTTAGTATGTAATGGATCCTTAGGAAAGAGACATGAGTTTTGTAAGAGACCAATTCAACTAAAAGATATCATTTCCATCTTAGAAGAGATAATACAGTATTTACCACCAGGGCAAAAATACGCAATAGGAAACTTTCTCAATACATCCATGGAAGGTATTTTTGTTGAGAGAGAAGAAAGAATCACAAAATATGTATGTGTATATTATATTAACTACCATAAAACAGGCATGAATTTTATGTTTTCTCTTTACAAAGAAATCCCTCAGCCGACAGTGTGCATGGTGCAAAGAGGAGGATCGCATACAGAATACGTCGCCTGTAATAATTCTTTTGAGAATGGTTGCAGAGACTTGGGTATGTTTATTCTGACCTACTCTAAATACATATACAAAGCGTGAAATGAATTAGTTTTTTAAAATTCTCTTGGTTTTCAGAAAAGCCCTCTAATCTCAAGACGATTATCTCCCTTACTCCTACAAGTGACAGCGGCTCTACAATTTCTAACTATGTAGAACACAGCAATCGAAGTGTAAAAAGCAATGGAAATGGTAAACTAAAGTCACTTTTATCATAATGGTAAAAGGTATATACGAGGTTTCTTCGTCATAATGTGTTTACTTTATGTCATATTACAATTATTTGACCAGTTCCGAATAAGAAACGGATTCGGCGGTGCTATAAAAATATACGAGACATTATTTCAAAAGTTTTTTGTCAAGGTAGTTCAATAACTTGTGGAATTAAATATTGTCTCATAAAAGTACACCCCCCCCCCCAAAAAAAAAATTTGCAAGTTAACATAGGTGTCCATTTTACCAGCTTCGAATAAGCCGACAAGTTCCGAATACTTTAGCAGTACCCATTCAATTCACTCCTAAATTAAAAAAAATATACTTACCATACATCATCCATTGGCATGCCTTAGAAAAGTTAAATAATTGCTTACCAATAAATTATTTGTATTTCCAAAGGATAAAGAGAAACTAGGGGTACTGTGAACACAGAGCTCACTTTGATGATACCCCACGCGTCCTATATGATTATTATGATTAAGTCCATGTTTTACTCTGGGAGACCCGAAATACTAGTAAGTGTCTGATCAAAAAGTAAAATAAGAGGTCACATGTACAATGGCACAATGTAATAAGAAATCTTATTCAGTGTAATGGAGAAGGATGTGGAGATAACGAACAATATTCAATCTCAAAGTCCATAAAACAATACAAAATAGGAGAAGAGCAAACATCAGAGGTGGGATCAGGTACTATGGAGGAGTGAGCATCCCCTGCTGACCGGTCACACCCGCCGTGTGCTCCTTGTCATGATCAGGAAATAACGAAAAATGCGTCGTCAATTCAGTATATAAATAATTGACTAACAAATGGGATAAGAGATGGATATACCCTTCAATATTAGAAAAAATGTAGTGCTATGGGATCCCAAATTATGTGCCAGATCAAAAAATAAAATAAAAAGGTATACTTTGGCACTATTCGGCGAAGATTCTGTGAAAATCTCATTAAATTCTGTGAAGCCTCATAAATTTTCATTCAGTGGTTGAAGAGGAGTTGTGGATAAGAAACCCAGATAGCATGACTATGTTGGGCCAACATTTGTAAAAGGTTGTATGGTTGGCGTTGGGGGAGCAACGTTGGGCCAACGTTGGACCAATGTTACCAAGTCAACCTTCTTGACCATGACAGAATTCCTATGTTGGCCCAACGTTGGTCCAACGTAAGCAACTTCCATTCACTTTAGTTCCCAAGGAAGGAAGGATCCTGGTGTTGGTCCAACGTTGGACCAATGTTTATAATACACCCTTAAAGAAAAGTGTATTTACAAGTTGGTAGTAGTATGTTGGCCCAACGTTGGCCCGATGTTTGTAATACACCCTTAAAGAATGTGTCTTATCAAGTTGGTAGTAATATGTTGGCCCAACGTTGGCCCATTGTTAGTAATACACCCTTAAAGAAAATGTCTTATCAAGTTGGTAGTATTATGTTGGCCCAACGTTGGCTCATTGTTTCTAATACACCCTTAAAGAACGTGTCCTATCAAGTTGGTAGTAGTATGTTGGCTCAACATTGGCACAATAATTGTAATACACACAAGCGTTATTTTGTTTAGGTGTTTAAAAGATGGGATATTTATATAGGGCCAACGTAGGCCCAATTATTATACTGCCAATTAATTGATGGTGTCAATTTTATAATAAGCTGCTGAGATTTACGTTGGGACAACGTTGGCACATTCTGAAATAATTAAGAGGACTTTCTATGTCCATGCTTATCATTGGATGACTGCTCTTGTTTAGATATGATATTTTCAACATTTTAATTTTGCACTTAAGTGATCACAGCACCAAAGAGTGTTTTATTCTATTTTTTGTATTGTGTTTATGATTATTTTTATTTGTAATAAACCAGATAGCAGAACATCGTTAGCCCAATCTTACATTATGGTTGTATTATCTATGTTGGGTTACCTTTATTGGGCCAACAATGGCCCAACGTGGAATATCGATAGCTGGTTATGTATAATGGTGCGCTAATGTTGGGCTAACTGTTCGCATTATATCATAAAATTATTATCATGAGAGAAAATATTTGTTTGGGGATTGGCATCGGCCCAACGTTGGCCCAATATACCATGAATCTGACTGAGCATCATGGGTAGACAACAACCGGGCTACTTGTAATATCCGCGCCATTTTTAATCTGACACGAGCGAGCGTAATGAGACTGATACCTTGCATATCTGCATCCACTTTGTAAGTATTTATAATATGTTTGCCTCGGCACAGCTGAATTAACGTTTAGTTTTTAAACGACATCATGTACAAATCTGCGCAAAGCAGACACGGGGAAGTGCAGAGGCCAGATGCTGTTGGGTCAACACTGTACCCCAGATGGCATGCTAACATTGGGCCAACGTTGGGCCAATGTAATCAGTTACATCGGGCCAATGTTGGCCAATGACATTGACCCAATTTAAGTTTGCTCATCGGCCCAATGTTGGCCCGATATGTTGGGCCAAAGTTGGCCCAGTGTAGAGTGTTATTTCTACAGATATTGGCCCAACGTTGCGCCAACATTGGCCCCATGAATGCGACATTGTTTGACAAACGTCAATTGGAACATTGGGCCGATGTTGGCAAATGATGTTGGTCCAGTGTCATTTTGCTCCTTGGCCCAGTGTTGGCCCGATATTTTGGACCAACATTGGGCCAATGTGTATAAACATTCAATTGTTACAAATCTGTATATTAACAAATCTGATCGTCTCTACAATCAAAAATAAATCTACAACCAATCCTACTTGAAAGTACAAGCTAGCTAAAATGAATTTACAAGGCTTGTTAAAATTCTTATAATTTATCAAAACAAAGTAAATTATCAGTGATTAAATGTTTTGTTTTTATACAAGAAAAATAAATTAAAGTATAAAATAACAAATGTGTTTTAATACAGTTAAAACAATAAATAATTTGCCCCTTATTTAGATTGAAATGTGTGACTAGTAAAATACATTTCCGAAGTCTACCACTTAATTTACTTATATACACTTAAGGTCGAGCACATGATCAAACATTTTGAAAATGTTGAACTTTTTGAAGTTAAAACTAAATTTATTCAGTACTAAACATAAATTGGGTTCTTTCAATTAAAATTTGTTCAGTGTAACGACTTTTCTATACATGTATTTTATATGGGGCAACATTGAATCAAAATCGTTGTGATGATGATGATGATCAAGCGTAGAAATGTTATGCATAAATGCCTTCATCATGCAAGCTAATCACTTAATCACACCATAAAACAAAAAAGACGGTTATTCCGTAATTGACACCTTAAACATATAGTGATATACTTGTAAATTTAATCGTATGTTTACTCTTTACTGAGAAAAGTAACAAATGTATTAAGTACCAAATACTACAATTTTAGTGCCACTGGAGATTCTAAAAAGACATTCAGAACACAATCAAAGAATAGCTAAGGTATGCCAAGGACAGGGATGGGGGAGGAAGAAACGGACAGAGAAGAAAAGAAGGGGTAGGAGGAGACTCAGGAGAGAGAAGAGAAGACTTAAGAGAGGGATCAGATGGAAAGTGGCAGTGCCTAGCTTTTTTCTGTTATATACTGTGACAAACCTGTAGTTCTACCCTTTTCTGTGTCTGTTTGTCGGTTACAAACACGATGCCAGAAACATTTTTTGTGTAAGTAAACAAAATGACGGGATTCATTTTAGTATTATTTTAAGAACAGGGGGGCTTTGTTTATTCGTTGGACCTGCTTATACCTGCAATTTACTGAACTTGTGCATACATTTACATCAGAGAGGGAGTATACAGTCATGTAACCCTACATGTATCACTTGAAGTGAGCATCAACTTTTATTTCTTTATTAATGTTTTCTTCATGCACTGAGCAATAAAATACTAGTATGTTATAATTTAATTTTATATTTTGATTTCTTTTTCCTCAGTTTTTTAATCAATGCTATGAGATATATATTGAGAATATGTATTAAACTATTAATCTAGCATATATAGAAAGTATTAAAGGGCTTTTACCATTAAACTGTACTACAAAACTAGTATAACCTTAATATATGTATTTGTTTGTCAATTTTGAGGACAAATGGCCAACCAGTGAAGAGCAAATGAGTTGTCATGATGGAGAGCCAATAAGATACAAACTAACGTTGGCCCAAAAATGAGGTTTGCCTAATATTGAAAGAATAAGTGGCCCAACAATGGCTCAATAATATCCGTTCGTTGGTCCAGCAATAAGCCAACAAGTTGGTTTGATTAAGGGCCGATGAGCAAATTACCGTTGGCCCAACATTAATTGCTTACAATGGCCCAAATGTACAAAAATGACGTTTGCCCAACATTGAAAAAATACATTGGCCCGACAGTGGCCCAATATTAACTGTTACATTGGCCCAACAATAAGCCAACAAGTTGGTTTGATTAAGGGCCGATGAGCAAATTACCGTTGGCCCAACATTAACTGCTTACAATGGCCCAATTGTACAAAAATGACGTTTGCCCAATATTGAAATAATACATTGGCCCAACAGTGGCCCAATATTAACTGTTACATTGGCCCAACAATAAGCCAACACGTTGGTTTGATTAAGGGCCGATGAGCAAATTACCGATGGCCCAATGTTGAATACAAACGGTGGCCCAACATAAGGAGCATTGTTGGCCCAACAAAGGTCCAATAACAATCTGCTATCTTGGAATGGGCACCCCCAAGCGTATCAGACGGACGGACGGACATACAGACGGATGGATGAACATATATCTCATCACTATATACCCGTTCCCCCTGCTTTTCAAGCTGGAGTATAATTAGTCATGTTTACAATGAAAAAAACAATGAAGAATGAATTAATAGTGTTTAAAATGGGTATTTGGAATTAGTAAAATGACAACACGAAAATATTCTCATATCTTCCATTGTTTTTATAAAAATATTTATTTTAGACAATTTTTAGCTCTACTGGTCTATGACCAGAAGAGCTTATGCGATAG